TCTGAAAGGGAAAGGTTGCTACGTTATACTCCCTGGGCGTAACCTCCTTTGTTTTAGAAAGACTTAACGAGCGATGGGCCGTAGTGCCATGAATACAGTGCATGAACGCCAGTGCGTCCGGGTATGTGTGAATAAACTCTAGAAATGGAAGCCGACAAAAGGCTGTTAGAAGGCTCAAATAAATATATGGAAACATAAGTTGGCACTAAAGGTAAGCCTCAATCTCGCACACGAATGCTATTGTGCGCTCGAAGCCTGCTCGGACCCAGACTCAGCAAAAGCTGAGCTCTACTCACCAGGACTTCAGTCATACTCACACTCGCGGACTGCTCGGAATCTTAGTGAGTCTGCATGAGCCAACTCATGATTGAGCTTGCTGACCTACGCAATCATTTATTGATGATATGTAGTGTTATGTAAGCCGTTAGCGACTCCTGTTGGTCCCTCTATGCTAATTTTTCTGACAGTGGTCCAGCGATTTCTTGCTTAAATCAACTTCTGACCAGCTAGCAACTCGCATCTGCTTTCAAAACACGACCCTCTGAAAACTTTGCGCCTTTCGTCAGTTTCGCGGAACGTTCTAATATTGCATTACAATGAACGATGAGTTCTTTCCAGTATATTTCAGAAGCAGTCGCATGCATCACCGTGTTGTGAATACCTATGTAGGTATAATATATTCCTCGGGTAATGAGCAGCGGCTTCCTATTTAAAAATGCTGCCAGCTTTCCATGATGAAGATGATAATCATGGCGTACACCCACAAAGGGGGATCGGCCATCGAAGAGATTTCTCAGATTTCTTTCTCGTCGTCTTTATCGATACTCGTTCTCTTTTTCTTTTTTTCTATCCTTCCTATTCATTTCTGTGTCAGTGTGCACCTGCTTTTCTTTTTATGACATCTGTTCACTTATTCACGTTTTTTTTATACAATTCTATCCTTCATTCACAACTATCTGGCTTTTCTTCCTCCATTGAGTATCCCTCCTTTTAAGGTATAGATACTTGGTCACTTCATTTGGTCATTTAATCGCATCCATTTTTAAGTTCTTCAAAAGCCACCTTTTTTCTTCACAATGAAACTTATAGCGAACGAGTAAACACAAACAAAGCAAGAGACGATAAGATGACAACCCTTTTCAACTACAGCTTTCTGCCCAGAAAGAATAGGTCGTACGTACTCAGACGTCCACTGAGCCTTACTTGACCTATATACGAGACATGCTGGCCTAGTGCCAAAAGAAGACCATAACATGTACGAGGCTGAGAAGATCTCGCACATTTTAAAGGATGTTGCCGATGAGGCATTCAACTTGTCCGTGCTTACCAAGGTAACGACCATGGATGCCGTAATTAAGGAACGTCGTCAGCTCGAGCAAGCAAAAAGTCGGCGCATTCCGCACCAGTTCCATCGTCTCGCCAACACTGCTACCACATTGATTTGCGAAGGAACCCCATGTCAGCCGTCCACATCTGAAGATGTCACACGCATAGTCCAAGGCCAAATCGAGGCCGTGTGTTCGACTGCCAACAACCTAACCTCGACCGAGACACTCGTGCCCCCTGTCGGGTTGATCTAGGCCATCGTCTGCCAGAAATTTGCTAAAATGAGTCTGGCCGTTTGCGCCATGAACAATAACGACGCCTCTGTAGCTTCTGTAAACAGGGCCACCACGCAGCCGTCAATAATCCCCTCGTTTCAGAAACCCATCCGAGTGAGGAAACAGCAAATGAAAAACAGATCTACTTCGGCGGCGGCCGTGCAGGCCACATTGCTCGTCACCGTCACAACCAGTGGCCCTGTACGCCTTCTTGTCCGTATTTAGCCTACAACAGTCATTTCTACAATATGCCTCACCGTTATTCGTCCCGCCCTGAGTCTTCAGCATTCGCCACTCCCGAGGACTATAGCTGCACGCTCCCGTCATCACCGGTACGGGCCCCCTCGATCCAAGCCGTTTGTCTCGATCCCCCTCACGAGTCACTGCTCACCCTCGCCATCGTTTAATCACTGCATGAAAACTAGGCTGCGCAGACCCTGTAGGCGAAGATACATGGTCGACCGTAACCGAAAACCATATTTCGCTTTTGCGTCTACACCGGAACACCCTTGAGGTCCATGTTGACGGCAGTGCTGTCCAATCGAAACAGGCGCTTTCGATTCATTTATGAGTGCGGATTTTCATCGTCGCCTGAAGATCCTTCTGCCACCCTTGACTAGTGTATACATGTCGCTGACGGAGTCACTGTGGCTGATGTAGGAATGTGTACTGCAAACTTACTGTTGCAGGCCATCTGGTGGTCATCCTGTTTAATGTTCTTGCCACATCACTTCCCGAACTCATACTTGAACTGGATTGTCTCGCCAGAAATTATTGTTTGCTCCACTGGCACAACACAGTGACCCCCCGGGCCAACCTTCATGTCGATTAAACTGCAGTGACTTCATTCATCTAGCTTCGAAAACTATTACGTACGTCATGTTATGCTCACCAGCTGTGCCCGACGGAGAACACTATATACGCTGCGTCCCCCGATTTCCCGCTCACGCATTGTGTGGCTGTTCTCTATACGGTTCTGAGCATCACGGCTAAATATAGAGCCTGACTGTTCATTGTAAACTACAGCTTCACAGTTCAAGTGCTCCCACAAGGGATATCCGTAGCCACTCTTTGTTCGCTGGTGGATTCACAGGTTTGAAGTTTTCGCTCTGTATGCTGTTCCTACGCAGCACGCACCGCCAAAAAGAAGTTGTGGTAGCCGTCAAATTTTAAATATTGTCGCTGCTGAGCTTTCGCCTGAACATTTGGAGGCCCTCCATAGTGTTCTAGGGTACTAACAGGGCATTTTCGAATTTGGTGCTTGACCTTTAGCGCAGACGTCCATTGTCCAGCATCGTATACACACTGGGGATGCTGAGGGTGATCGAATAACGACGCCTTTTCCGATGCGCCTGCTTTTTGTGCGTTTCGCGCTTAGCCAGTGCGATGTTCCGTCCACGTTATCAATGCAAGCAGCAAGCCACGAGTGTTAGACGATATAGATAGCATAGCATGAGGCATCGCTCTGCGATACCAGCTCCGCGGCGGATTTGGCAGTCAAGTCACTGCTGTCGTGTGTTAGCTGCCGCCGAGTTCGCTGCCGCGTTAGCCAGATGGTGATAAGCTTTGATTCTTTTATGAGCGTAGCGGCTGGCGTTACGCGCTTGCAGTTTGGCTCAACTGGTTCATCGCCTCCGTTGTCGTTTTAGCCAAGAATTTGAAGTGGCCACGTTCGCCCAAGGGTGCATGAAGTCCGGCGAAAAGAGAAAACAAAAGCAGCGCTAACACTACGATTCTCTCGTGGCTACCGACAATTAATCATCTTTTGAAAGCAAACGGGAACAAAAACGCTTCCAGCGAAGCACTAAAGCTCGACGCAGCGCCTCGTAACCATTTGCGTTGTCTGCTCCCGTATTCCGCTAAATGTGATGCTGCGGCCGCTTTGGCTCTGGAGGCAGCTCGCTACTGTGGCGGCTCCTGACGTTTGCACGGTGTCCATAGTAAGGTCGGCATCTCTGCTTTTCTGCAAAATTGTTCTCTCTCTTCTCTGATAGCACGGCATTATGGTATCTATAGCACCAAACTTCCTGTCCCTATAGCACTTTGGGGCTTGAGTGGATAGGTCTAGGGTGTATAGGTGTCATTTGTCCTGGCATTCTGGAAGTAAAGGCGTCAAGGAAACATCGCCGAATATGTAACACCTTGGATTTTATGTCGCCACTCTTGTTAAAATAACATGCGCCGCCGTAAACGTTAACGTTAAACGATGACTTCAGAGTCTGATTTAGTAAAGATAAGGTAAAGAATTTGTTCCCTTCCACCTATGTTTGAAAGTAACACTCACACAAACCGGGCAATCAGCCTGTATCCAACCTTACATAATGACGCATTTCGATTCTATTGGAAGTGATAAAAGTACACAATGCGTTTCAGTTCTGCGAGAAGTTTGGCGATATATATCGTACTGAGTGCTGTTGAGGCACTTTGCGAAAAGTTTGACATAATTTCAGAAACTTCATCCGTACTAAAGAATGCATGAATACGTCCCGCTTAGGGTCACACGAGTGGGGACGAATGCGATCTATAGCCGGAATATGACATTGCAGCAGTACTGCTCTAGTTCTATAAATTGCCAATAGTTAAAATTATCCAGTGATTCATAAAGTATGACTTTCTAACTGTGCTGTCATTGTGCTTTGCGCTTCTAACTGGTAATGCAGCACGAGGTTCGGCTGAGCCTGAACAGTGGATGAGAAAGAATGGCAAGAAATATTTATGTAATAATTTTAATCTTTCCTTTTCTGTTCCCACGTGTAGAGTGGCAAACCAGCTTTCATGGGCTATATAGTTCCCTATCGTTTCTTCTCTTTACATAATTCTATCTACGTTACTCGCCCATTAAAACGTAAAAAAGTAGTGCTAAGTAATACACGTGCTCGCGTTTCCAGCTTCTGCAGTTCATGGCAAATCAGTAATTTTGAGTGGCACTCCCATGAGACCCATTATTTCTTTGCATTTGCGTAGGTATGCATGGAGCGGGGGGGGGGGGGGATATAGTTTTTCTTTCTTCCGAAGTTTTCAACTTAGCATTTGTATACTACTTCACTCTACGTTACGTATACGTTACTTTATGTTATCGTACGCGCACAAACACAAAGGCGTGCTGAAACATACATACATAAAGTGCGGTTATCACCCCACCCCTATCCTTCCCGAAAGACTTAAGGCTGTACTACTGTTGCCTTGAGGGGCCCGATTTTCAGAGATATGATGCGATTATCAAGAGCAATTGCTCCCTACAGCCACTCAACCAAAAAAAAAGAAAATCTCCTTCTTAATCTGTGAGTACTTCGCCATATTATCCCCTCATCACTAACGATTAAAGAGAGAAGATATGGCCGACGGACACTCAGAACCCCCCACCTTCCAAAATGGCAAAAACATAAAATAACTCTTTGGTATGTGTTGTGGATGACTTTATTAGCAAGCGTTCATCACTCTACCAGCACTACCCGTAAGTTTTCCCACCAACTTTTTTTTTTGTGATTGTAGCTTTTATCGTTTTATCGTTGTAGGATCTTCACCGCACGAATTCTAGGTCACATGGCTCAGCGCAGACCTGGTGGCGAAGTGCTTCGGCGTACATGCAGCTCTCGTCTGTGTCGTAAATCTTGAAGACAGTATAGTTGATGCCGATCAAAGTGACCACTGCGTATCAACCAGAAAAAAATATAAAACGCAGTACTAAGGCTATTACGGAAGCGAAGTTTCGACAGTAATGCTCGATTCCGACATATAGAAAAAATTTTGGGCATATCAAACGCCAAAATCTTGATCACGAAGGACCCCCATATGGGGGTATTATGGATTCATTTTTACCGCGTAGGGACCACCAAGCAGCGCCCGACTATAGGTGCTGTTACGTTTGGCCCACCGACTCATATGGGCAGACGCCATTCTGGTGAAGCCGGTCGACTAGGGAGGCTTTCAACTCCTCCGGCGCCCAGTCTGCAAGACCCTGTCGTATAGATGTTCCAGAAAGCTTCGCGAGGCAAGTCTTTTGTCGAACGGGCTCGTACAGCGGCGGAACTGCGCCACTGTGGCGGGTCTCATTAAGTCAACCTTTTGACTCAGCTTTTGTCATCTACGCGAGGCCGTCTCAACGCACCGACATCCCGGAAGCGTAAGAACGCGTCGAAGAAGTCGTTCACCGGGATCGAGCGTTTGGACTGCCTGAAGCTGAAATCAGCATGGACTGCTGCTGACGTTCGGGTTAGCGGCCATCTCCCAGGAGGAGCTCAACTTTCCCTCTCCAGAGACTACCTCCTCGCCCTGCAGTGCCTTCAAGGCGTGGGCCAGGTGCGTCTTTGTGTGGTGCGTTCCTGTTACCATTGGACCGTTTCGCCCAGCCGAGTGGTGCAATATCTGCACCCTTTCTGGTGGGTGGACCACAAAGACTTCGTCCCCTGCATTGGAGCAAGAGTGATCATCGCCTCCTTCGGACGGTGGTGACGGTGGGCTATAAAAGCCGAAGCATGATTGTGAAAAGGGGCTGAATCATGTGGGCTGAATCTTGTACGGAATCATGAGCCGATCCTCCGTTGTACATAATGCGGGATCTTCTCGATCCCTGTACAGTTCCTATCTTTCTCCAATAATGTAAATAAACCTTTGTTCTACTTTTCTTACGAACGCGTCTCCTCACTGGCGAAGATCAGCTATGCGGACGATGGCGGGTAGCCAGGTACATTAAAATGAAGCCCGCCGTTCCTGCCATCGAGACCTTCTTACCCTTCAACGTACATGTGTGTTCTTACATTTGAACCCCTCCATGATAAGAGAGCACCGGGCGTTGGAATCAAACCTGTGACTTTGACATCAGCAACCCCTCTAATAGTATGGAATGTTGATCGAGTTGGTTTGAGGCCATTCCTGGAAACATTTCGGCCCGCACACAATAGACGAAAAAACGAAAAGCGAGAAGACAAACAGGCGCTTTCCAAGAATGTCAGCAACTCATCTTATTTGCTTGGGCGGTGCGGTGGATTATTCTCATTTGAAAAACTCCAACAGTCCAAAAAGATTACAAAATTTTAAAGTTTTACTACACCAGCTGCGCAAGTACATTACCATGAACCTGTGGCATGCCAGCAATTATCAAGGCTTTGTTTAATATTATTACGACATAGACTTGCCCTCAAGGCAGAATATTTTGTTCGTGCATGTGTATTAACTATATATGCGCCGTTCTGCCATTATGTTGTATGAAGTGAAGCATTGTCGTGTGTAACCTGTTTTTTCGTATCCAGCGGCCATAACGGGTCGTGTGATTGTAGCAAAGGCCGGCTTGCAGGAGGCTTGTGCTACGGAGCTCGATGTCTGGGTACTTTGATTTTGAAAGTCTATTTGATTTTCATGAAGACGATGAAGAGTGTGGGAAAGACTGTTAAACCTCCCAAGACCTTGCCACACCACTGGCTATAGTTTTCCCTGGCATGGTCGCATCACGTTAAACCACTTATTCCGATGGCGTAGCAGTACCACATGAATATATTCATAAGAGGTGCCGAATTCTCGTTACTCACCTTCCTTGAAATAGTAGCTTTGGTTTTGGTATAGAGGCAGCAGTTGGTAAAGGTATGCTGATGCACCTGTAATAAAAAAAATGAGTCACTGAAACAGGCAATCTGGAAAAGTGATCAAGTTTTGGACTTATTTTCAGGCCTTCCAAGACGTAAAAGCCTGAATCACTTCTACATTTTCGAAACTTTGATATTCCTGCTAAAATATCCCTACCTTGCCCGAATTATTACGCAATGTAAGTGAGCAAGGCATTACGTAAGGTTAAAAAAATTAACTTTGTCGTGTCACGAAATGTTATTATTCACGAAACACCTACATTTAAAAAGTTCGTCATAGCCGATATGCTCCAGGTATTTGGACAGATAGGTAAAACGCTGGCCGGGAGAAAAGGCTTCTATTCTGCTAGATGACCAGAGCCCGTGACCAACATATAATCCTGTCTCTTTAAATTTGATCTTATATTTTAAATAAGGTATAATTAGTATGACAAACGTATGACTATGAAGCCCAAAGTTTTTCTCAGACCTACATTTTTTTTTGTTCTTGCACTCACGCGTCTATTTTACCTCAAAAACTTTTCCTGATTTATCAGCCTCACATCCTGCTTTACATAAAATATTACGAGGCTAAAGGGTAAGGAGCGCTATAATAAAGATGACTCTGCCCAGATTGTTCGAGAAAGGGTAAGCATCATAACGTTAATACACAGGAGCCATGTGAGAAAATGTTCCACCGTGAAACACACTCGAGATTCAGCTGAGGGTGACGCAGCGGTGTGTGTGAACTTTACGGGTGCTCAAGACGCTTGTGATTTAATTATACCATCTGTGTAGCAAAGATATCATACTACTATTCAATGCACACATAGAAGTACAGCACGCAGTTTTAAATAAAAGAGTGGTGTTAAACACAGACGAGCAAAATTTAGTGATCTTAGAAGGCTATAGCGACTCCACGCATTTAAAAAAACGTGTTGCTCAATCATCAGTTTGAAACTTCATGACCACGGTGTCGCGTATTTCAGCCTTATTCAAGTTGTCATGCCTTCTTTCTCATTTTAAAACAAATTTTCATTCTTCTTTCTACCATTTTTAAACTGACTTGTTTCATGACGAATATAACCAAACGTTTTATATTCACACATTGAAAATAGGAATAAAAGCCGAAAGCCGCCTGTGTTGTTGAACGTGAGCGCCGGTCTTTAATATGAACCGATTTCTCATATACATTATTTTATATATCCATAACATCCTTTCTTGATGTTTACTTCGGCCAGAAATAGACATCGGACATCACCGTACCAGTTACGAATGCCGCCAGATAGGAATTCTAAATATCATATCTTAGCTATACTAAAATTTACCTTCGAAATAGCAAGAAACTATTGCCTTCTCGCAAAATAAAAAGAAAGTATGAGATGATTTGACTTGAAGTACTACCCTTGTTGCTACCAATGAAATCCCGTTGTATGCCCAGAAATACGTCATAACTCGCATTACGAACACTTTCTCGAGTATAAAATTAATCAGTATGATGGGATACTTCGAAGAGTATAACAGCCTTATAACCTTAAGTGGTACGTCCTTGGTTCATCACGTATGCTTTTGATTACGTTACAGGTCTTATAAAATTATCTCTGTAGAAATCGGCCACACAACTTCAGCTTTTATGAAGCTTTATATAATGGAATCAACTCCTAATGGAAATCAAACATGTTCGATTAAACATTGCCTCGGTTTGGACATAGTTTTAAGAATTATACTGCGCATAGCGTTTCCAATGCCGGAACCTACCTTGACCTGATAGAACGCCGTAGTCCTCTTGTTCGTCGTACTTGGCAGAGACTTCAATTCTGCAGTGTGTTGAAAATAATATGACAAGGAAGAGCTGCAAGAGGGCTAAACAACACAACTGAAAAATACCAAACTTAGTCGTTAAATCGTTCCTTAGTTCTTTTTCTGAAGTGCAGAATATGATACTTTTCTCTCTATTTAGGAAAACAGTGAACTTAGTTCGCCTCATGGTTCACTATAGTTATAGAGCGAAAAGAACGAGGAAAAGAAACGAAGCATGACCATGGAGTGAATGAGGATGAGTGGGGCAAAGTGTCTGTCTGTCTGTCTGTCTGTCTGTCTGTCTGTCTGTCTTTCTGTCTGTCTGTCTGTCTGTGGATATGATGTGCTGGCTACACCAGAAAAATGTACTACCTTAGGCCATACAAAGCTTGGCCTCTAAAAAAGCTAGCGCTAGTGTCTTGACACGACGGGACACACCACTTATTGTCAAGTTTTTTACTAGTTATATATATATATATATATATATATATATATATATATATATATATATATATATATATATATATATATATATATATATATATATATATATATATATATATATATATCCGCTTACGTTTGGGTGATCTCTTGGTCACCCCTTTAACTTGGCGTGGACCAAGAAAATTAGCATGGGAGGGTAAGATGGTTTGACGAATATGACACGTTGGTTAAGACATTAATAATGTCACAATCCCGTCGTGTACGCCGTCAAACACTTTCCGCCAAACAGCGGCACATACTCACGGGCGTGTATGTGCCGATGGTATGCGGGTATGTGCCACAGGTTATTGACACTTGATGTCTACCCAGGAACGACGAGAACACACATGGGCAATTTGAATACGTGAGCATTAATCAAAATACATCGGTAGCGCCAACCCAACGAAGGCATAGAATAAATGTCAGTGTTAAGAAAAACCTGACATATACAGCGTTAACTTCCCGACGAATGCAAATAATAAATTTAGGGTCCCAGCAGGAATTAAACATGAGCGTTCTGCGTGGCAGTCAAGCATTCTACCACAGAGCTACGCCAGGTCTCGGAACGACTTTTCAAATAGACGCTAATCTTCGGGAAACGGCAATAGTGTTTGCAGTGCGGTTTACCCAATACGGCCGTCACGTCGAGTTAACGTCGATTGTAGCTAAGTGTCATGCGCCGAAGTTGATATATGTAGCAGTGTCCATGGCCAGCATCTTCGCGAGCATCAGCGCTTCATATCAACTTCTAGTGTTGCTAATACGCATGTTCCAGTTGACATCTTTTCCCAAGTGCAAACAATTGGTTATATAAACATCTACAACTCTTCAACATATGTTTGTGCGTGCTACATTTGTACATCTATTTAGCGTCCTTTGATGACGTATCGCCCAATAAAAAAAAATGCAACATGGCCACCTTCCATCCGCGTGCTTCGCATAACGTCAATTCTCCGGTACATGAGATCTGCCGAATTTTTTAAATTCGAAGCATTTCTTAGCGAACTTCGGTGACGTTGAGCGTATCTATCTATCTATCTAGCCGCCTACGACTTTTAGCTCTCCTGGCCATTTCTCAGAAGGCTGCTACAACGACGTCATGCTATCTTCGCAAACAAGGCCTCGAGGTGTCCTGCGGAAAATGTGCAGTGGTAGCGTTCACGCGGAAACCAATGTCTGCTTACAGTATATCGATTAATGAAGAATACATATCGTTCAGCAGAAGCCACAGGTTCTTGGGAGTCATAATAGATAGAAACCTGTCGTGGACTCCACACGTGAACTATGTGAAGAAGCGGCTGATCGCAACATGCCACATGTTAAAATTCCTTGCAGGAAAGAGTTGGGGTGTGCCCATACCATCCATGCTACAACTGTACAGAGTGCTGTTTATCGGATTCTTACGGTACAGCTTACCTGCAATGTCTAACACCGGCAAGACCAACCTGCGCGCAATTCCGAGCATTCAAGCCCAAGCACTTAAGATATGCCTTGGAGTACCCCGCAGTGCTTCAACGGCTGAAACCATTGCCATCGCTCAAGATCACTTGATAAATACGCATATTATTACCGAGACAATGCGCATGCACCTCAGGCATTATGCCAGGACCCCTTCTCACCACATGGCGAGCCTAGCTGCTGAAAGGCCCCGCACGACATACGGCACTATTGTCTCCAAGCATCGTTCATCGTTTGCTGAGACATACGCACCTGCATCAAAGCCACTGCTTCCTCCTTGGAGCTTGAGCCGGCCGCGAGTTCACTTAATGATTCCAGGAATGAGGAGAAAATCGGACTTACCGACACATGCCCTGAAACAACTGAGTCTATTCCTACTGGAAGAAAACTACAGTAACCACGTGCACATTTACATGGATGGCTCTACTACACCATATAGTTCAGGTGGAGCAGTGGTTATACCATCACAAGGAGTAACTCGGTGTTTTAAGACTTCACACGTGACAAGTTCAACGACGGCAGAACTCGAGGCTCTGCGCAATGCACTGGAACACATCAATTCAGAAGAAAGACCAGGTAAATGGGCTGTGTTTTCTGACTCAAAACCAGCGTTACAGTGCCTGATATCAGTTCTCCGACGCGGATGCCACGACCAGTTGACCTACCAAACCGTGAAACTTCACCACCTGTTAATACAAAAAGGCCAGGACATCGTCTTTCAGTGGTTACCTGGGCATAGTGGTATAGGCGGCAATGCTTCTGCAGATCATGCTGCTCGCACGTCACATAAAGAAGCGAACAGCGTTCCGATACCGCTTTCAAGAGCGGATGCGGCGAGGCAGATTCGTCAACTGGCCCGCAGTCTCACACTGACTGAGTGGAACACACCAAGCATACGACGTACACGACTGCACGAGCTCGACCCTTCACTACAACTCCGGCCTCCACCCAGCCTACATCGACGTGAAGCTTCGCTTCTCTATCGCCTTTGGCTGGGAGTTGCTTTCACGAAAGCTTATACCACGTTAATCAGAATCACTGACAGTGCGGCGTGCGATGTTTGCGGCACCGACGAAAATATCGAACACCTGCTGTGTCATTGTCCTCGATTTGCCTCAGATAGACAAGTACTTGCCAACGCAATGCGGCGACTGGATGATCGGCCTCTTTCTGTGCAGGTGCTATTACAGCAACGTACACATGCCTCGACAGCCCACAAGGCAGTGAAAGCCCTGCTGCGTTTCCTGAGAAAGACAGGCTTGTGTGAACGCCTCTGACATGCGGTAGAGTTCTACACGCTGCAGTGAAATTACTGTCGGTCTCTCCCCCACCCCCTTTTTTCCCTCTCTTCCCTCTTTCTCGTCTTTCTTGTCCCCTTCCTCAATCCCCCAGTGTAGGGTAGCCAACCGGATGTCTTTCTGGTTAACCTCCCTGCCTTCTCCCTTTTTGTTGCTTCCTCCTTCCTCCTCCTGGCCGTTTCAATAATGGTATCGATGCCAAACTTGGTAAGGCATAACATGACTGTATGACGAACATATTTGACTTGTCATAACATGAAAATCATGGTATGTATGTCATGAATGTCATAATTTACATTTCATGGTCTTGCAGATAGTTTCGTTCACATGGTATGTTGCAAAACTGGTATGGTATGGCACGATTGCATGGCGAACGCAAGCGACAGACCCTAACATGAAAATCATGACATGAGTGTCATGTGACAACATGATTACATGCCACGCTCATGATGCGCTCGCGGCCGTTTCGCTAGCGTCACATATACCAAATTTGGTATTGCAGTAGGTGACTCGATGACGAAGGTATGTGACTGGTACCCCAAATCGAGTGTCACAGTATTAGCGTATTTTAGGCCACTGATTTTCATTAATTTCCCCACAATATCTGATATTTTGCGCTGGTGATGTACTTCTCCTTGACCAACAAGACCATCTGGCAGTAATTTCTAGCAATGGGTCCCGCCTGTATATTGCTGTATAAGTTGCGCGAAAAGAAGCTAGTACCTTAGTTATACACAAGGCTTGGCCTATGGGAAATGCCGTTGTCGGACAGTCCAACGTTAATATCGGTCACTATCATTTACACCTGAAACTGAGCCCACGTGACAGTATTATTCCATCGCAGCCACTACTGTGTGCTACCTTGGAGATCACGTGAACCTATCATTACCTAACATGAAATAGCAGAGCGCCACAAGCAATAAAGCACCCAGAAAAAGTATTGGAAATGTAAACGAAGAATAGAAGGCACTCACTTTTGCTCTTCACTGTCTCTTTTGGAGACGTATGTGCAGGTGCAATGTGCTTCGTTATCGCTTTGGCCCTCGCTTCTCCACAGGACTGTAAAATTGCGTGATGAAGATGGCTCGAGGGTGGTCCCGTTTCGGTAGCACTGGTACGTCGTCACGTTACCTTCATCATGTATCCTCTGCAGATGCGCGAGGCGTTTGGCGTGTCATATTTTATCGCTTTAGAAACCCTATGTCTAACACTTTAGTGCCATTTTGCTTCAACGTTCTGACGATTCAACGCTTTGTGCTCTAATATGTCACTGGCGCCAAGGTGAGGTCATTTAGCCCCACAGTGTACTTTACGAAAAACGTTGGGATTCTCACAGAAGCGTAGAGGAAATAAAATGTATCTGTATGCTGTTGTATGCACGGTAATTCCGCAATATGATGATTTAGCCCTGCCACAATACTTGAAGAGCCATAAGACCTGGCCAGTTGGTTCCTCGTCGGCATTTTTTTTTCATAAGGCAGCGTGCAAAAATTCATTTCGTTTAAATTGTGAAATACCGTATTTTGTTTGCTTAGAATTGTTCCCGAATTCTAGCACGATGAAAGCATACAAAGTGTCGTTGATGAGCTAACTTTTTTAAACAACAATGCGGTAAGCGCTCCTACTGCGGCAGTTCTTCGTTTGTAGTTTCGTTTCACACCTTAAATACGCACTTCATGCACATACCTAAACTTTATTGAGAGATGTCATATGGGTGAGTGGAAACTTGCCAGGAAGATTTAATTTCAAGCTAGTCTTCCTTTATGTAACGAAATGTTCGCTTCTGGTCAAGCGTCACTCGACTACAGCCAAACACATGCACCATTATGTTTAAGACGGTGCAAACTCGCATTCACGGGGACGCCACAGTTCGCTGTAACAATTTTTAAGAAACTGTGAGAACATGCCGCCTTACAGTTTTTGCTCAGCTTGGCGTATAATTCCTTAAACACTGTTATCTATCTTTCATTGCGTTTTTAATTAGAACTTTGGACCATCTCACCGAAGGAAACCGTGATGGGACGCCACGCAGCAGTGGTGCGCACGACATTGACCCGGTTGAAACGGGCGTTGACGCGGGTGCTGGAAGAACGTTTCGAAGCGAAACTCGATTTAGCATTTACTTCAGTAAACGTTTGTTTAAAGAGCAAAGACACGTGAGGCGAGACGAGTTGACGACGCTTGCACTCGGGTCTCGTGCGTGTTACCCGCGCGTCGTCTGTATTCTCCAACGCGATCGCTGTTCTTGACTCGAATCTCGTCGGCGTCGCTGGTCTTCCACTGAAGACGATTCTGTTCGGCTTCCCTGGCTCACGTCTCGTCGGTGTTGACGTCACCATTGCGAACGAAATCCGCTTCGCTAAACCTCACAACACCGGTGACAGCCGGAAAAGGTACGCGCCCACAAGCGGGAAGCATGTCGCGACGGCGTCCCGCCCGTCAGCAGCGCACCGCTGTCTGCTGCGCTGGATGGATGGATGGATGCTATGAGCGTCCCCTTTATAATGGGGTGGTGACAAGTATGCCACCAGGCTCGACAAAAAAAAAACCTTTTTTCTTTTTTTATGTTGGCCTAATGCCTCTACTTCGATATATTCTATCTTAATGGAAAAAAAAGGTAAATTTTCAGCTTAAGTTCTCTGCCATTTACGGCACACTGTCCATATTTTATTTTTCCAATATTTATTTTTGTCCTTTCTCTCTAATTTTCTGCCACCAATACTCTAACCGTCTCTTACTTATTTCAATCGCGGGTGTGTTCAGCTTTCCATTGTTGTCCCTAAATCCCAAGGCTTCCTGTAGGCTCGTGCCCAAACGTACACCTGGGTGGATATCTCCACATTCAATCAGAACATGCTCCGCCGTTTCCTTATCTTTCCCGCAGCATGTGCATTGTTCTTCTTCTTTACTGAATCTTGCTTTATAACTACGCGTTCTAAGGCAACCCGATCTCGCTTCAAACAGTAAAGCGCTTCCCCTTGAATTATCGTAAAATTCCTCCCTCCTTATTTCATTTTTGCCCTTTCGGTAGTTACTCAAAGCCGGTTTTTTCTCCATAGCTGCCATCCAGTAAATCCTCTCCGCCTCCCTGACTTTTCCCTTAACGCTCTTTGTTGACATATGGCTCACAATACCAGCCGTATATTTACTAGTGAGTCTTCTAGTTCTTTTTCTCCACTGTGTGTCCACGCTCTTCCTATACAAATAACGGAACACCTTCTCTGCCCATCTACTCTCCTTCATATTTCTTAGCCTTTCTTCGAACCTTATTTTGCTCTGCGCTTCCCTCGCCTCAAAACCTGCCCACCCCATATCGCCCTTTACAGCCTCGTTTGTCGTCTTCCCGTGAGCACCCAACGCGAGGCGTCCCACAGTCCTTTGATTTACATCCATTCCCGATTGCACCTCTGCCCTCATGCACACCACTGAGTTCCCAAAAGTAAGCCCTGGAACCATTACACCCTTCCACAGACCTCGAAGCACCTCATACCTATTGTATCCCCACAACGCTCTGTGCTTCATTATTGCCGCATTCCTCTTTCCTTTTGCTGCCGAGGCTTTTTCCTGTACCTCCATGTATCTATCACTCTCATTTACCCATACTCCAAGGTACTTGTATTCATTTACCCTCGGTATTTCTTGGCCTTGTATGGACACCGTCTGATCACAGGGATCATTGAATACCATCAATCCACACTTCGTTACACTGAATCCTAGTCCAAGAGCTTCACCTTCCCTTCCGCATATATTCGCCAGCTGCTGTATATCATCTCGACTGTCCGCAAATAAGACGATATCGTCCGCATAAAATAAACCTGGAAGCTTCTGCTCAATCATCCTGCCGCCCTGTTTGTGTGACAGATTAAAACCAATGTTGCTACCTTCTAGCGCTTTTTCCATACTCACCATGTACAGCATGAATAACAGCGGGGACAAAGGACATCCCTGTCTCAGACCCCTGCTAACCTCAACGTTCTCTTTGCTACGCATTCCTTCCCACTCTATGCAAACTGTATTTTCTCGGTATATCTCCCTCAAAAGCTGTATACAGTCGTCGCCCATGCCCATTCCTGTCAATATATCCCACAAAATTTCCTGATTAACGTTGTCGTATGCCCCAGTGATGTCTAGAAAAGCCACGTACAAGGGCCTATTCTCTATTTTAGATATTTCTATACACTGAGTGAGAACAAACAGGTTATCGTCTAACCGCCTGTCGACTCGAAATCCGTTCTGAAGTTCTCCCAAAATATCGTTATGTTCGGCCCATGTTTCTATTTTCATTTTTACTGCTTGCATCGCCAACCTGTATAGTACCGATGTAATGGTTAGTGGTCTATACGAGCGAATCTTGTCCTTTTCTCCCTTGCCTTTATAGATTAAGTTCATTCTACTTTGTCGCCAACTGTCCGGTATTTGTCCGTCCTTTAAGCTTTTTTCTACTGCTTTTAACAATGCTTCTTTAGTGTTATGTCCTAGTTCGTTAATGAGGTTAACGGGAATCCCATCTAAACCCGCGGCAGTGCGCTTTGGAATTTTTCCTTCGGCCTTTTTCCAGTTGAAATTATCAAGTACTAGCTCTTCCTCTGTTGCTTTCTCCGCCACACTTTTACTCACCGGGGAGATCCCCTGGACGCTCTTTTGAAACGAATCGGCTGTTACCTTTTGGATGTAACCTAGCGCTTCGTACCCTTCCAATTGATTTCCTCCTTCATCTAGAATATGTTGTTGCGTTGTGACAGACTTCCTACCTAGTGCCTTTATGTGGCTCCAAAAAATCCTAGGCGCGGACTCCTTTTTTTCGTGTATCTCTGTCATCCAGCGTTCACTTTCACCTTTAATTTTTGCCTCTACCAATTTCTGTACAAGGGATTTTTTCTCTAAATATATTTCCCATATTTTTTTGACTTCGTCCTGCGGCCGCTTCTCCTTTTTTGCCTTTCTATGCTCCCGTGATGCTTCGCGTCGCTTCTCGATCGCCTCCCGGATTTCCTTGTTCCACCAACTTTTTGGCTTCCTTTTTCCTTTCCAGCAAACAGTTTTCTTCTCTTTCCCTATCTCCTTCGTCATTAGATGTAACAGCTCACTATACTCCCAGTCCTTGCCTGGTATTTCGCCTACTTTTTCCTCGACTCTTGCGGCTATATTTATTATTTGTTTGTCATTTAAATACGAGCTGCCAGACTTTGATTCCATGCTCATATTTTCAGTTTCGTATCCCATTTGTAATGTTATTCGTTTATGATCACTACCCAAGCTGTTAATGCCTTCCTCGTCTATCCTCATTTCTGTCAGTTTGTGGTAAAAGCACAGGGGTGCGCTGTCTCAACAATAGAGACAGCGCACCCCTGTGCTCAATAATAGAGACAGCGGTGCGCTGTCTCTATTGTTGAGCGCCGCGAAGTTCTCGAGGCGCGTGCAGCGCGCACCCGCCGACTCGCGGCGTCTTCTCGCGGACAGACGGAGAGAGAAGGTGCGGGTGAGATAATGCCCACGTGAGGAGTGGGCTCGAGTGTAGCGAGTGGTGAAGAGAGTGAAGTGAGAGAGAGCTGACATGCGGCGAGCGTACGGCAGGTGAGAGAGAGAGAGAGACGTCACCTCGCAGGGTTAAGGAGGGCGTGAGCTACTTGGCACCGCTCCAACACCTGCACTGAGGAGAGCGGTGTGGACGGAGGGACAGCGTTACACAGGCTTGTCGAAGAGCTCTTTCGCATCTAGTAGTGGAAACTAACAGGGAATTATGCCATGTATAGGGGATGTAATTAGTATTAATTGCAGTGTGAATGTGAAGAAAGATGCACGTTAAAAAACCTCAGGTGGTCAAAATTTCCGGAGCCCTCTACTACGTCGTCTCTCATAACGATATGGTGGTTTTGGGACGTTAAACCCCACATATCACATATCAATCAATGTGAAGAAAGAAAAGGGATGAAATTGTAACTTACGGGGGGTGGAAATGGAACTTGCGACCTTCGAATAACGCTTCCGATGTTCTACCACTGAGTTAAGATGGCAGTCATCCACCCGTATGGAATTCATAACAATGCAGACAAGACGGAGGCATGGTCACCGCCGTAGCTCACTGCTAGAACATCCAATGCCTTATTCGAAGTTCAAAAGTTTGGTTCATGCCCACAGCAAATGATCCTTTCGTCCACTTTTCTTCCTTCACATTTACATTACAATTACTTCTAATAACATCCCTTATACTCTTTCTTTGGTATGATGTTTTGTTCTGATTAGTATGGTGTTTAACAAGAAAAATTAGCCCTTCAACCTACATAGCGTTTTTAAGTAGTGGGATAATAAGGGTGAACATTGGAAGTGCCTCAGACTGCCTGGCTGAGGTTTTGATAGGAGGATCTATCTTTTTCAAAGGCGCCATAACATCCTTGGCGTGTTAGTTTTAAAGGGGTTGGTGGTGACGTCATCCCGTGGTGGTGGCGCGTGTCCCTGTTGATAATGGCTGTCTGAAAAGTAATTAGAAAACTATAAAGCTCAGGAGTGCAGTCGTCACTTCACTTTAAGTCAGGTGGCAGTCACTCAGAAATATTCTCGGAGAGTGGGAAACGAAAAAAAAAAATTGGTCCGAATGTAAATGTTACACTGAAAATAACGTCGAAAGACGATAGTCTTGCGTCTGGAGAGAGTGAGCAAAACGTTTATTTGATGTTCTGCGCAAGAAAATTGGTGGATGGTGTTCTGAAGGCGCTGCGTTAGAGTGCCTCGAGAGTGTGGCGGATACGAACGAGCGCGTCTATAGGCACGTTAGACACGAGCGTCATCTGGCAGTTATCTTCGAAAACGAAGGCGTGCGTGACTGCGGAGAAAGATGCGTGCCATTCACGGAGGTGATAAGGTGCAGAATGCAAAGCGACGGGCAGGTGCCACCACCGTGCCGTCGTAGGAAAAGAAAGCGTTGGAAACACCTTCTTGGGCATCGCGTTGCACTGTCAGTGCAACGTGTTAAACGCTGCAGTCCTTAGAGTTACTTGTTTGTGCCTCTTCTAGTATAAAGGCAGACATACAAAACATAGACATGTTGTTATGGCGCCTCAGATATGCGCAATATTCGCTTTTTTAATTCACAATCGGCCAACTATGAACGCTAAACATTGAGCAATATAGCGGCGTACGCCTGTTCTCGAACAGCTACGAATGGGACTCGCAACAAGAAAGCAATGACTAACAGGGCGAGAAGCAGGCGGCGTAAATTTAAACGCCAAGATGTCGGAGGTATGTGATACCGGATGGGTTCTGTAGAGCACGTGTTTCAATAATGGGGAAGGTCATTGGAAAATATACTTCCAGTATCTCCGTAGGTGACACGCTCAGCCGAATGGTTTCAAGAATTTGGAGGCATGTTGGCTGACAAAAAGGGAAATCGAGAATGCTATGGAAATGGGCAAAAAAGAGAGAAACACACAAAAAAAGGAAACGAAGGGGAGAGAGGAGAATTGAGGGGGTAGGTGGTGTGTTAGGGTAAAGGGATAGAAAAAAGAAGAAAAAAATAGAGGAAAGACGCAGAGAACTTTCTGGGTTGGGGTGAATTTCCTCCTCCTTTACTAGCTTCAACACTAGCTAAGGAGGGAAGATGTTTCAGGTTCGGAATGGGTCCCCTCGATGACTCGAGTGCACGGTGGCAGTGCGAAGGAAGAGCCGTAGTCCGGTGAAGAGACACTTTATTGCAGCCTCAGGCGACTGCCCGAGTCCAAGCCCGAACCTACGCTCTCCATTTCTAATTCAAACATCCTCTTTTCAACCCTCGGTTGAACAAAGAGTCTTCACACAAACCAATCACATGTTGGGACTCGCATCATCACAATCAATCGCAGAAACACCTTCATAACAGGCACTACATTGCTTAAAACCACGTTACCAAATAAAACACGCAAAGGGATAGGTTCTGCGCGTGTGACACTCTCTCCCATGCCAGGCAATGCTGCCTCCGTCGGCCGACTTCCGTTGGCAGCCGTTCTCACGCTCGAGCGCCGTCAGCTCTCTCATTAAATGTTGCTTCGTAGAAGCCTCCTTATAAGAGCGGTGAGTACACGGTTTGGCTCTGTGCGCTTACCAGGTGTGCATGCGACAGCGAGGCGCCCCGACACCCTAACAGCACTCAGTAATGACGTACGCGGGGGAGGTTATGCTCGTCTCCCTGCCGCCACTATGTCTCGGTCAGCCAAGTGGTCGCGTCCCCGCGTCATTCTCAATGGCACGCGTGCATGCCAACAATGGCTTAAACTCAGACGGTGGCTCCTGACCTGCCTCTTGCCAGACGCTTTTCCGAGTAGGCCTTCTCCTTCTAATCCCGAACGGGGGCGACCTTGACGGCTCCGCTCGTGAACCGTGCGAACGAAGAAGTCTCCTTTCTTTCCCATGCTCGGATCTTCCGCGTTCGCCTTCACGGAACCGATTAGCTTCGTTAGTTGACGGGAGGGGAGCTGGCTACGCGCTCTGCATCAGCTGCATTATTTGCGCTACACACAACACGCCGGTAATTGGTGCCTCATACTAACTGTTGGAAATGTCCATAACGATGCGCGTTAAGAGTGGTTTTAGAAGCGAGAAAAAAAGAAAACACAGTAGTGGTTTAACGGTTGTAGAAAATCGCTATCGTCAGCAACCCTTTGTGGTAGACAGTGCATCGTAACTGGTGCCTGAAGGGGATATCTCTCTCCCTCACCTTCTGTGGTTGCTAACAGTTTCGTCACTGAAACAGCTGACACGACACGTGTAAAAAAAGACTCGGTACTTGCCTGAAAGAAGTCACCCAGTTCAGTTGCACCATCCACCACCACCACAATGGCGGCAATCAGGGAAACCACGTGCGCGTAAATTGTCGACATGCCTGTAAGCGACAAAGCGTGCGCATGTATTTAGAGACGTCGAATTGGATTTTTTTTTCAACGTGGTGGGTTACCTGCAAGCTAACTGATAGCTCTCTAATCTGTTTTACGTTATTTTACGGCGACAAAGCATAAAAACAAATTTGTTAGTAAGTTAGCACGTACGCTACTTAACACGCTTGAAGTGAACTGATGCGTGCAGTGGTTAAAAGCATTTACTGCTTTATATATCTGTCGCAACGCCTTGATGATATTTCAGCTTGCAGTGAGTTCTCATTTTACGTTTTCAGAATAGTTTGAACCGCCAGAAACATATAGCAACTCAAGTGCTAAATGAAATGTGAACTCTCCACTTTTCACTTCATTGAAAAAAGAACGTTTTAGAACATCGATATTATGCGCCCATTTTTCGCTTTAATCAAAGTCTACGTATCTGATTTAGATGATGCCCTTATTTAATATCAAGTTCTCGTTGCTTTAGAACATAAGTGGTGGTTTTATGGGTGGATTAGCATTTTTAGCGGATATATTGTACCAACATTGTCCTTGAAAACATGCTCTTGATACAACAATAATGAATACGCTCTATAACGTACAAGACCACAAAACATGTCGGCACTGCAGGTTCTCGTTTGTGAATTCCTCGTTTTTCGTCATGATGGTTATGATATTTTCTGATGGTGATGATGAGGACCTCTACTGGTGCCCCCTTTTAAACAGTCCAATTACTCGCTTAGTGATCTTTCTTTCTTTTTATTTAACTAGCAATGCGTATCGCTGTTCTTTTTTTCTTGTCGATACTTTCACATCTGGGTTTCCAAATACTCTGAAAATTTGTTCTAAAAATGAAGGCAGCTACGCACTAAGGGTAGCCTTTTTTTCTTGCTTCTAATCATTTTTTTTCTACTTTCTTTTTCTCTGTTCTAGACATTTCTGTCTTCCTCAGTCTCTTTATTTCTATTCATTGCCACTTTTCTTCCTCTCTTCCTCCGTTCATTCTTGTTTTGTTATTACTGGCTTTCTTCATTTTCTTCTCAATTTCTAAACATGAGTTTTTCTGTGTTGCACCAAATGACGACATTGTACGATAGCATATGACAGCCTGGGCCCCTTAAGTGCTCTGCGCTTAATATCATTATCAAAGCTCTCGAAAAACAATTGAGAGAAAAGTTCTTCTAAGCGCGAGCACTTGCTACCGATGGTAGTGCTTTACGCATTCTTGTCAGCGTTGCACCAAACTACATGAGACGATGACAGCATGCGACACCTCGGGCCCCCGAAGTGCTCTGAACTTCGACAGATCCCGAATACCTTAGTAGTCGATGGTATGTGAAGCATGTCAAAAGAAGGTCACTGTGTTGTAATTTTTTTGGGCGAAATGTTACGAAATCAGGCCAAAGATATGTACAAATGTTTCTCGCCCAGATATATGTTAAACCGTCACATGTTTACTGTTGCGCAATAATTACAACAGCAACATGGGTATTAGCAAAACCGAAGCGGCAAGCTGACATGCACCGCTTGTGCCAGCGAGGATGGCTGCACTAGACAGAGCTACACAAATGTGCTTTAGTGGATGGCACTTCACTACAATGATCTTTAACCCGACGTGACGGCTGTGTGATAGCAATACGTATTTACTGTTTATAAAATTGAATAGCCAGCTCTGCAACCACTATTGACGTTTCACGAACATACGGTCTACTTTGAAAGCTGTTTTGAAACCTGGCCTGTCTCTGTGGTAGAATACGTGATTGCCCGTAGAATGTTGGGGTTAGATACCTGCTGGTACGATGATATTTATTCTATGCGTTCATGTTGTCAGCGAATTTAGGGGCGAAGCTCTGTATAGCCGGACTATTTGGCGTCCAACACGTCCAACAAAACCCAAACTGAAACTGAACACCAGCACAACAAAAACGTATGTGTAAGCAACCAATGTCGCGTATAATCGATTATATCACGGCAAAATACATGACCACTCGTGCCACCCGTCTATCCAACCATTCATGCATCTGTTCGCATGACGACCCATCTGCCCATCCATCCATCTGTGTCGTCCCAGCATACGTCCACGTGTCCATTCGTCCATCCGTCCATATGTCCATCCTTCTTACTGGTCGGTGATTTCAACCTTGACATTATGGACCTTAGAAGCCCATAGCTTCACCAACTTGTCATCATTCCCTTCGTGAAGATGCATACATTTTTCTTAACACTCTTGAATTAAAACTACGAATATCTCTTCGCGCCATTATTTGGTTGATTTAAACTGTCAATCAGCTTCGGTACATTGCGTTTAACAACAGTTGATAGTGATCCGACGTGACGGCGGTATCGTAAGAGTACATATGTAATGTTTATAAAGTTGTTTAGCCACCATCGAATCCCCAATGAACGGTTCATGAACATTGTCGTCTATTTGAAAAGAAGTTGCGAGACCTGGAGTGCACCTGTAGTAGAATACTCCGTTGCCACGCAGAATGCTGAGGTTAGATTTCTTATAATGCCCTGACATTTTTTTTTATTTGCATTCGTCTGGTCAACGCAGCTAGTGTCATCTTTTTCTTAACGCTTACGTGTAAAAATTTCCCTTGTTAGTAATCGCCAATTTTGTAGATATGAAGCGTCAATAACCTGTGGCACATATTCGCATACCATTGGCATACCTGCCTGTGGGTATGTGTGACTGTCTAGTGGAAAGTGTTTGACGAAGTACGCGACGGCAATGTGACTTCATTCATGTCATGACCAGTGAGTCGTATTCGTAAACCATCTTACCCTCTCATATTCATTTTGGTTTACCCCAAGTTAAGGAGCTCATCACGAGAGCACCAAGACGGAATCTAACCGAACCATTTTGCGTGGCAGTCAGGTAGTTCATCACATAGTGATGCCTAGGTTTCAAAACAGATTTGAAAAAAAGATCCTACGCACGCGTATTCTCGGTGCAATGTCAGCCGTGGTTGCAGTGCTACCTATCTAATTTTGTCACAAAGCTATCAGCATCAAATATCTCCTCCTATGATATTGCCGACATGTCGGGTTCGCATAATTTGTTGTTCCAGTGCTGGATCCACTTTTATAGTAGTATAATAAACAGTAATTTGCACTGCTCTACGCCCGTCAAGGTCAGACAGTGGTGCTGGCTGTTGACCCAAAGGTCGCAGGTTTGATCTCGGCCGCGACGGTCGCATTTGAGTGGAGGCGAAATGGTAGACACTCGTGTACTGCGTCCTGTCAGTGCTCAATAAAAAAACCCCCGATGATCAGCATTTCCGGAGCTGTCCACTATGGCATATCTCATAATCATATAGTGATTTCTCGATGTGAAACTCTCATATTATCACTATATGGCGCTTCTCTGATTCGGCAAGCTATACTTAGGCGTTACGCTAACCAAACTTTCGTATGATATTCACATCACTCCACTGCAATGTGCACTTCGTTTCACCAATAATGACGTGCGCATACTCTAACGTGAGCGCTGAGGTTACATCGGAACATAGTTACCCTCTCAACGCCAATATAGTCAATGTTCTTGCTAAGCCAGTGGTGTGCACTCAACTCAAAAACACGTCAATTCACCTTTTGATGCTTGGCACTAACCAAATAAGTAATAAATAACGACAATATTTTAAAAAGGCCTCTAGAACAATTACCCGCTGACTGCCCCACATGAAACTGATTCCCACAAAGCGTGGTATCTGCCTTGTTTTTGTTTGTTTGTTTTTATGGTCAGGTCTTGTTTCATATATCACATTATGGTATAAAGAATTTTTATACTTCGCTTTTTTCTAATAGCATATACTTTGCATGTTATTTATGCCTTCAACGACTCGCATGAGTAATTCCTCTGCTGATTTTTTTTGCAATATTCTATTGTTTTCCCGCTTAAATTAACGTAAACCTCTGAATAGTTAGTATGTTTCACCTACATCGAAGGCATGGTACTATGAAAGCTTCATATCTTCAGTCGGTTTTACTATTCGCCCTGAGATCTGGCTATAGAGGACAGCACCGTCATGCGCTTGTGGGAATAGACGGCCGGCAGCGCGCATGCCATGTGTACTCATCGGCGCATTTTCTGAGCAGTGTGGGCCGATTGCTGGCAAATAAAATGCATTTGCTGCTGCCTACTTGTGATATATATTCCGTCCTTTTCTGAATGGATGCACGAAACTCGCCTAACGTTACAAGTGATTGTGATAGAATAGCAGTCTAGGGATCTTCGCGCTTGGTGACTGTCTGCACTTTCGTACTGTGTCACGTTTCGTGTATTTTTACTTTAAGTATTGAGCTTGTGTCCAGTTTACTATGCACTGCTGTAGCACGACTTAATTCATTCTCCATGCTGGTCTTGGATACCGAAGATAAGAAATATCGAAATTTGATTTTCTTGAGCGATGAGCTCAGGAATACTACGATTATGCATCCTCATTTTAACGCTATAGCATTAAAGAACTAGTACGCAGAAAACCGGTAGCCGGTGTCGGCCACGTTGGTTGTGAGCGAAAAATCGTCTGTGCGTCTGTGACCGAAAATTCAAGTTACCGAGATAGCCGCGGGAGGCCGCTACTTATCCACGCGTGCGCGCGTGATCACACTGAAAAAGCCGCGCATTCGAAGAAAAAAAGTGCTTAATTTCACGAGAGGCGGTAGTTTTTTTGCCCTGCCACTCCTCCCTGCTTAGCTTCCAGTGCTTTTGTCGGGACGAGAGAAGAGATACTGCGATTGCAGCATGCGACAAACTTTTGTAACTCCACTCGCACTGGGCTGATTCTTAAAATTTTTGCGGAATTGAATTCATGAGGCAATAACCTCTTCTATCGAACTCATTCCATGGTCACTTGAAAAAGAGTTTCAGGGCCCCTAATAACGCACTTTGTTCGACAGGAGTCACAACCAAAACGAGCCCGTTTGGCGATAATAACGCGAGCTGGTCAAATCTACTGTGTGCGTGTTTGTGCGCGTGCGTGTGTATGTAACAAAACATGTTAAT